CGTTAGTTATTTTCAAACACAACGGCTTGGGTTAGGATATATTTTAGGTTCTTACAAATGAATACTGATTTCTGTTCATCACTAGCTTTCCTGGAGGATTACACATTCACAATCAATGGGCAAAGGAGAATTCCAGTGCCCTGGGAGCAGAGTGTTCAATTGGCCAACCTATGGCGGAATGTCTCAGTGCACCCCTGGCTTCAGTTAGCTGCAAGGGAGCTGAGTATAGCACGGCCATTTCTGTTTAATACTAATGCACATCTTAGATGCAGAATATACCAGGGCCAATGGCAACACCACGGACAGTGTTATTCACATTTCCACATGTATGTGAATCACCTGAGACTCTCCTTGAAACAAGGCTTACGTCAGTAGAAGGTATGAGGTCTGCACTTCTAACAAGCTCCCAGGAGACACTGATCCCGCTGGAATACTTTGAGTAGCAAAGCTAGAGCCCTAGCACTGCTCTTCCTATCTAGAAATGAGATGTATAGGCCAGAAGTTGGAGGCCTAGGCTATTGCATCAAGTCTGCTCTTAAGCAGCTATGTGACTGGAAAACTATTTAACCTCTAAGTGAATGATTATCTACTTCTGTAAAGTGATATAGATCTGGGCCAGGTGAGACATCAGGTCCTCCAGAACTATAAAATGTAAAGATTTAAAGACAACCCTTATTTTTATTTTAGCTGCTATCATCTATATTTTCTCTCCTAAATGGTTAGTAAAAACTAGAAAAATGTTTTATTGTACTGCTTTACTCCCAAATTTCCTCTTTTGGTTGTACTTCACATTCTGTGAGATAAGATAATATTTATTTTTAAAGTCAGTTGCCTTGCCGTTCCTTTATAGCTCTTAGAACACTGTTCAGATTTGTATTTTCCTTTAAGGAGAGTTCTCATGAGTGCTGAGCTTTATGGATCGGATTATCTGTTGCCCAAATGAAAATGTAGTTCCTATTATTTCACGTTTTGCAGAAAGGTTGCAATATTCTCACATAGAGGATGGTCCCTTTATTGGAGCCAATCTCTTAAAATGCAGCTTGCTCAGGTGGCAAAGGTGAGTAATAGTTTCAAATTGCATGTAGCAGGGGAAAAAAGCCATTCCACTTTTCAAACAAAATTTAAGTCAGATGCCTCGTATTTGTTCCCAATACCAATATCTCTATTCAGAACTTCTTTAACTCTTGTCTGGAGCATGGTACGGGTCAGCCCACTGGTGCTCCGTTTCCAGCCTGTCCATCTCACAGTTACTCCAAGACAGCACTGCCACGAGAGTGGTCCCACATTTCAACAAAACTCATCTTACTCCAGGTCAAAAACCTGCACTGGGCCCTAATTCACCTACTTCGTCCATTAGATCAACCTACTTTTTCAATTTCCCACTATTCCACCAAATGTTTTCTATGCGTCCCATTTGTGTGTCTACATATTTCCTCCATCTGGTATACCTGCTTCATAAAAGTCTACTCATTCTTCAAGACTCACTGAAAATACCAATTCTCCTGGCAAGAAGTTGAGGTACACTGGGTCTGGAGTATGCAGACACCCTCTGCACGCTTCCTCATCCAGCTCTGTGGCTGACCGTCATAAGCCAATCTTGTAATTTCTTATATATTTGCATATCTTGTGTCTTATCTGTTTCTCTAGCAAAACCCTAAACCACAACACACACCTTGCTCTCAACTCTGTTTTTTACTCAGCAACAACTTCTGCCCTATAATTTCTGCACGTTTTTCCTTTCTTTTTACTATTCAGTTCTTGGGACTATGTAGTATGTCTCATTTATCTTTGTAGTTGTCTTGTACCTGTTGAGGAAATGAGTAAACAATATGGATCAAGATGTTTAGAAACTGAAGTTTAAAATTCTCTATTAATATTGTATATTATTTATTTGGGATAAATTACTTAAACTCTGTGTCTCATTATTCCTTATTTATTGGGGGACTAGTAAATGCCAGCTGAATTTTTATACTTACCTAAGGGACATCAAGGGCTACATTATAGGACTGTTGGAGAAAAGGGAAATCTTTTGACTTTTGAAATCATGGTAAATATTCTCATAGGAAGTGTGTTCCATATCCGACTGTTATATTGTTAGGAAAGCTCTATGTGTAAAATTCAGACTATGTAATTAATTTTAAAATGGCAAAACAATAACACTTGCTTCACAATTTGTTACTATCTAGAGTTGACAGTTTCAAGAAGAAATGTCAAATCTTTTCCTTAAGGTACCATCAATACCACTTTAAGAATGATACCATAATTGTCCATCTTGGTTTTGAGACTATTACAGATATACTATACAAGATACACTGTACATTTTTTTAAAAACATGAGAATGAAAAAGTCTAACAATCCATGATTAGAGGATGTGTGGACTCTCAGCACATACCAAATTGCTTTCCTGTGCTCCGTAGGCTACAGCAGAATGGTAGGAGTGGTTAGTTAGCTTTCTGTTGCAAAGACACAGTACTTGACACCCACAACTTAAAAGAGAAAAGGTTTAATTTAGCTTAGTTTCAGGAGGTTCAGTCCCTGGTCAGCTGGTTTCAAGGCAGAAACATTGTGGCAGAAGGATGCTGGAGAGCAACGCTTCTTATTTCATGACAGCCAGGAAGCAGAACAAGGGAATAGTAGCAGAGAGGAAGAGGGAGAAATCAGACATAGCCCCAAGCCCCACCTCCACGATCCACTGAGACACGCTCAGATGTGCTCCATGCACCCCCCAGGCAGATCCCAAACCCCATCAAGTTAAACGTCACCCTGCCAGCCACAGTTTGGACTTTCTAGCAGCAGTGTGTTAAGCCTTTTAGAACATCAGGTTGATCTACTAGTACAATATTCTAATAGTTGTAAGAATTTTAAAAGGTAACTTTGAACAAACTTATTCCATAATCAGAGAAATTAAGAATATATAAAAATATGTTTATAATTTAGGAAAAATGAAGAATACCATCACATGCCCCTGGTTGTTAAAAGGAGAGCTGAAATCACAAGACTGAAAAAGGCATGTCTAACTTGGCAAAAAACCCCTCTCTTGCCCAAGATATTCTCCTATGCTTTCATTGGCTTTTGTTCTCTACTTTATGCAAGAAGTAAACATCAAACAGACAGAGATGAGGAGGTGTAGGGCAGTGGTGCAGCCATGTAATGCATTTTTTTATTTTAAAGAGGAAAAAACTAATAAAACAACAAGAATGAAGACAAAAACAAAAGCAACACAGAAACAACAAAGATGATATATAACCTCAAAACAAAATGATAGGAATTAACAGTGGTTGCTACACTACGTACTGTAATCTTCAACAAAGTTGCTCAGTCCACCAGATGTAAGAAGGGAAGATTGATCAAATGATCAAACACAATAAAAAGCAATTAAAAAGAAACCACTGGAAATGATACAGAGCTTTACCACACTAGATGGTAGGAATTCAATGAGTCTGAAGGGTACAATAGATATTGCAAAAGGGAAAGAAACTGCTCAAATAGGAAGGAGCAACTGGGATGAAGGAGGAGAGAGGAAAAAGAAAGAAGAGAAAAAAATATGTATATGTCTACAAAGGATAGCTAGGATGATTGTATTACTAATATCTGTTAGTTTATTGAAAGGAACAGTTAATGTGTAATTGTTTGATCAGTCTTACATGCCTATATCTGGTTATCTGAGCAACCACTTTGAAGAGAGCATTATGTAATATAACAATATTGTTAATATCATATCACCTTGTTTTGAAATTCTGTCATTTTTATTATTTTTTATGCTGCTTTGTTTATGTATTTGTTTTTGTTATGCATTATTTTAATTCATGAATTATTTATTTCAAAGAGCATTCCCAAAATATAACTAGCAAACTGAACTCATTATAGTTACATTTCCTTAATTCACTCTTCCTTCTTACACAAATTTAAGTTTAAAGAGTGAGTATACTTTAAAATATTAATTCAATACAGTGTAGGTGCTATAGACGAAAATCACGATGCAGGCCTGGGAACCTTGCAGTGAGCTGGGAAAACTAGGATCAAGTGAAGGCAGTTGTGGTTCAACCTGTCACAAACCAGCCGCATTGCTTCAGCCAAGGCACAATCCCTTTGGGGGTCTATTCCTCATCTGCAAAGAGGATGGCTAGGGTGATTATCTAAGATCTACCCCAGTAACACCATTCTATAATGTGTCTTGTTAAAGCCCATTACAAGAAACAACAATCTCTGTAAAACAAAATAAGATTCTAACCCTTAATACCAGGTGTCTTTCTTAAGCCTGTCAGGAAAATCAGTGGACTTCATGTGGAATTTTTTGAACTTAAAATATTTCACTGGTAGATTAGCCTAATCCTTTGAAAGATTAGAGATAAACTTGATTTTTGCTTCATAATTTTACTTTTTTCACATGGGAGGACCTCAAGTAGCTTTGGATTCTCTCATCAATAGGATAGATAAATAGGAGAGAGTTTTAGGTGTCATATTTCACATGTGTAACTATTTTCCCCGAAGGGGAATGGATCTGCAGGATGCAGTCAGATGGAGGAGCCAAGTCAAGTCACATTTTAAACAAAAATGTGCTCCTACGAGATGGAGAGAAACCCAACCCAAAGTAACAAAAAGCCCATATTTTTGGTACAGATCTTCCACCAGGTAATATCTCCATGGTCAGACTGTGTTTTCTAAATAATCTTCATACTCTGAGAAGTAAACTACTTTTTCCTTGAGTTGGAAATACCACCCCTTTTTGTAGAAGGGCCACATTCTGAGAAGACTGTCTTGAATATTTCTATCGTTACTTCACACCCAGTCTAAAGAGAAATTATTAACGAATTAAGCTGCAAGGGGAAAGAAAGAAGCTTTTGCTGTTGCTGCTGAGCCCTGTGAATATCTAAACTAAGCACTTTGGAAATTATTTAATTAAGGACTAAAGTACTTTCTTTTTCTCTATTAGAATATTTATCACATCTATTTAACCCAGTTAGCTCAACAACACAAACAAAAAACCAGACAAACGCCAATAAAACCTATAGAATCTATTTTTGGTAGAAATATTTCTGATTGTAATGATACAAAAAAGAAAGATACTATGAGGGAAATTCTTTTTACCTGTGATTTCTAGAAGGGTATATTCATAGAACACATCTAAACGCATATAATACATAAATGTAGAAATGGACCCTCTGGAATACCTACAACTTCATTATCTATTGTAATTTCAAAGACAATCTGGAAAATATGGCGTCACAGTTTTTCTCTCTACATTCTTTTGTTGAATACACCTGTAGATGTATTTGATCTTTGTTATCCTCAGTGCAATGCGTCTCTGACACTGTGAAAAGGGTGCCCGCCCTGTGGAGCTGCTCCCGACTCCGGATCAGTCACTGCTGGCTCAGCCTCCTCCGAAGAATGGCAGCCAACCTCTGCCTGGTCTCGTTTACTGAAGCCGTTGGGCCCCTGGGAGGACGCGGCGCGGGGAGCACAGGGACGCCGGAACTGCTGGCCCTCTTGGGCTTCTCTGAGGTTGGGGAAGCGATGGGGTTTGATGTTCTGTGCAGGCTGGGGATTCTGAGTCCTTTTTCAGAGTGCAGTCTCGCAGGGCTTCTCTCTCCAAGATCCCTGACTGCTGCCACAGAGGAGGTTAGACTGCCCTTGCTGTGGTAACCTGGTGAGGACGGCAAGCTTCCCTGGAGCTTCCTGAGCTCCAGGAGCTGTTCTCTGGCTTGACTCAACGCCTCCGTCAGTTCAAAGCGTTCTTCACACTCTCTGCGCACTGTTTCCTGAAGAACAGTGTTCTGAAAAGAGAGGGGGTCACGCCTGGCTTTATACCGTGTACACAAGGCGGTATAAAGTGAGAACGAGCTGGAAGTCAGGTGTGCATTCTTTGCCTGTCTCTATGATGCTCTACTGTCAAAAACACAATTTGTGAAGCTGAAAAGAACTTTAAAAGAGCATTTGTTTCGACCCCTGCCATTGGCAGATGAACGAAGCACCAGAGAGGTTTAGTGACCTACTCACTCAGCTGGGGGTGGTGGAGGGGACGAAACCCAGGACTGCTGATGCCTTTACCAGCAGGTTTCAACCTCACACCTCATGTTTCAGACAGTGCACTCTGGACACGTGACATCTGATAGTTAATATCTGCAGAGTCACTGAATATGTCATTTTATAGTAGGGGCACATGGCAAAGCATAAGTCAAATAGGCAATGTTATATGGATTTTAAGATTGAAAGAATAACAAAATATATCAGCTATGACATTTAAACAATAAATCAGTTATTTATGTGATGCTTTCCCAATGGACCTTAAATACACTGATCATTTGCCATTCTGCAAGATAATATTCCCCAATAAATGGAAACATCTGCTTTTAACTCCATTCATCAATCATTTACCAAGTTACTAGAAGCTGTAGTAGACAGTCTGTATTAGTCAGCTTTGTGTTATTATAACAAAATACCTGAGGAAATAACTTACACAGAGAAAAGGTTTAAGTAATGGAAGAACTTTTTAATAGTAAGAGCTATCTAGAGGATACTTCTTCTAGATAGTGGCAAGGGTGTCCTGAACTCAGTTGAACCTTTAAGTGTGTGACTAAACTAGATATCTTTAAGGTTCTTTAAAATTCTGAGATTCTACAGTGTAGTTGAGTTACTAATTTTTCATCTCTGGAGTTCATCAAAGTTTCTTCAAGGCCTATAGTACAAATTAGGGCTTGGATCTTCCCAATATCCTGACATTCATGTCTGCAGGATGTTAAAAAAAGTCATTGAAAAGTAAACAAGTCAAAGTAGTCTTAATAAGTGAACACAATGAAAATGACTGTGGTACAGGATTCATCAGCTCAGAATGGATTTCCATCAGGCTAGCTTGTTCATAAAAACAGCATGGGAAGCATCCTTTCTAAGGACTTACTGGCTAATCTGCTGTCAGTGGAACTAAATGAAAAAGTATCAGGGAAAGTAGTATCTTCTTGCATTTGAGTTTTTCATGATTATGACCAGAACTCTACTCAATTCTAAACTTGGTAATCAAAACAGAAGACTATGAAGCAATTACAGATTAGTGAAATAATTGCCTATAAAGTCAGCTGCATGTTTCACACCCACATATATTATTTACATACATATATGATCCACATATTTACATTTTTAAGAGAATCATGGGTTAATTACTTGCTTCCAGTTATTTTTATTTTTTGGTGGAGTTGGAGACCAAAGGTGTCTGTGGTTTTATCACCTGGCTCTCATTAACTCTGCCTGAAATGCTTACTGAACAGGCAGGGGGAAAGGAGACTAGAGAGGAAGATGAATAAAGCATTATAGAAATTGTCATGAAATTTATTGCTCGCAACGATTATATTTTCCAAAGAAAGAGAATGGAGCTCAGGCTGCTTGTGGAACCTGTTGACAGTAACCTGGGTCACACTGGTGCCCCAGAGACATGCTTCACGTGGCCTGTGTCTCAATCAGTGGTCTACTTCACTACATCATGCATGCAGGGGCCATTCCTTTCTCAGGACATGGAGGACATAAACAGTGGTAAGACATTTTCATTTGATTCTGACCAGGGGTTCTAAATTATGGCAACCTAGACATTCTCTTAAAAGGAAAAAGGAAAAGTCAACTTTCAGTGCATTACATTTCTTGTCCACTAGTAAAGTAAACTGCAAAAGTACAGTGAAATGATCACATTCAAGTGCTTTTCAATGAATTAGTATAACAATACCCTTGACTAAGGAAACCATGAGCAGCAATTAATTATATTAGAATATATAAAAGAAAAAATGAACAGCAATGAATAACGAGGCCAACAAGCTGGCCATATGAATGGCAGGTGGGGTGATATAAAATGATAGATAAAGCAATGGGGAATGTGAGAAGAACTCTCATTTAGAGAAAAATAAATTAATTAATTTACAGAAATTAAATTTAAGTCTCAAAGGGAAGGAATAGTGCTCCACAGAAAGCATACATAAAACAAGTCACTCAGTAGCAAGTACAAAAGAAGCAAAACGTCATCAGACTCCAGGCAAGCCTTCATACTCACGCTTCAAAATCAGTGAGGTCTGGACCTGTCATGGAATTCCCAGATTACACCATTTCCACCAGCCCTACTTAGATGTATTCCCAAGGGAGTGGATGACCAGCAAACTGGAGGCTGGGGAAGGGCTGCTGACTGTCTCCGTGTGGGGCCCACTACTCGGAACCTCGTTGTTCTTCAAAGCTACTTGCTTTCTAAACAAAGGATTAATTCTCCTTCTATTATTTCCCAAGCCAGAAGGACCTCTGAACTGAAAACAGGATACAAAATGGGGGTGGGGGGGCGGTTATGTTTGTCTGTGCCAAAACACTCCCATAGTGTCTTCATACTCTCTGCCATCATTACCTTCTCCTGTAGAACTGAGGTTAGAACTCAGCAGGCAGTTCAGATGTTATAATTTATTCAATGATAGGGTAAAAAATGGAAATAGAATACTTGCAAGTTTAGGAGATTGCTATTTCAGGAGTGAAGGGTGACGGGCATGACAGGAGGACATGTGGATATGGCTAGAGTCATAGACACATTAGTGGAAAATTCCATCACACATGAAAAGAATCATCACTTGTGGTTAGATTGTTTTCAGCAGTTTGGGGAAGAGGAAGGCTGGCTTGTTGGGGAATTTTAATGTGTTTTCACTGAATACGGCTGAGTATGACTCGGGTTCATCTGCACCAGGGAAGGACAGACTAGCCCTGAGATAGGGAGGAGTGAGCAATTCCAGATCACAAAGGAGTCTGGCACCATATTACCTCTAGGGTTTTGACTTAATTCTGAGGGTTACCTGGAGCCATTGAAAGGCTTGTTTCTCACAGGGGCTGACATGGTGAGATCTGTAGGGAAGGAAGATCTCTTTACCAGCTCTGTGGAAATGGTCTGGAGTGGGGCAAGAAGGGCGGTAACCAGGATAGTCGGAGCTTGACGTTCTCAGGCAGGAGGTTCCTGTTACAAGTGTTCTTTGGTTGGGGTGGTCCATGGGAGGGAGAACAAGTGTTCCTGGATCCTCACTCTCTACTGATTGGTGGCAAACATTATCTACAGGTAATTCTACATTTTCAGATAAAGGTCCCTTCAAATGGGATTGAAGGATGGCTTACTTGTACTGCCACCAGGAAGGTAAATGTCAAAATGAAAACGTAAATTAGCTCACCCTGTTTTAAATTTCTAAAATTAAAAAATGGCCAATTTCCCCCACCCTTTGTGATGTAAGAGTGGCTTATTTTTATGTTTGTTTTCATTTTTATCCTTGGAGACAGTTGGGTCGCTTTCAATTCCAAAAACAGTGGAAGAAGTGAGAGGAGGCTTTGCTGGGTAACTTGATCATTCTGAAGGTGAGAATCCTGTTTGTGGTGTTCTGGAATCAGCTGTATTTGGCGTAGTTTGGAGGAACGTGCCAGGAAAAGCAAGCCCTCAGTGAGGAGTAAGCACAGATGGGTGGCTTTGTTCATGCTTTACACTCAGGGAGGTCTCAACCAGTCATGGAGTGATCAGATGACAGTTTCCACCAACTCTAACTAGATATAACCCAGGGCAGTGGGTGGCCAGCCAGCTGGGTAGGGGGCTGAGGTGAAAGGAAGTTCTGTGGGGAAGGTGTGGAAACCAGAAAGATGAGTAGGAGTTAGCGAAGGATGTGCCCAGCTCCCATTCAGTAGCTTCTGTTCAACTCATCTGTTTAGCCCAACTCGCTATAGAAAAGTAGTGAACATGGCCTTTTGATATGGCAGGAATAAGAATCTGAATAAATTCTCAGTAAGGAAGTAAGATGGAGTCAGCTAGGTAGCTGTTAAAGCTGTATTTCAATGCTTGCAAACATAATAAAACCAACTATGGCAGACACATCTGAATAAACATAAAAACAGAGGACAATAATCCCTCAGACTGAGGAACTTCAAAAGCACATTTCCAGGACAGGGAGGAAGAGGCTTTGAAGACAAAGTATTCATAGTATGAGAGCTAGGTACGTTTCTAATTTAATAATCTAACTTTGAGTCAGATTTAATTAGTATTAAACAACAAAGAAAATTTCTCCACATTTCTTCTCATTTTGTCAATTTGTGGACAGTTCCTCTTCCCAGGTGGAAACCCAGCCTGAGCTCCTTCTGCCGGTGCCCACGGCCAAGACTCTCAGCTCATCATCCTCCTGCCTGCCCAGGAGGTGAGGAACAGTCCCGCGCCGTTTCTTCATCCTCCTATCCCTCTCCCCATGGAGGTGGAGACTAGAAAAATACCTCTCATTCTCTTGCTCTTTTGGGAGATACACCAAAGTTTTAATTTTATTATGCCCTATAGCTGAGAAGCACTTGCTTGGTGACTTACTGCCTCACAGACAGAATTACTAGAGACATGTGTGTTGTTTTCTCTATACTGATTGAATACACAAATACAATAATTGTTTATTCACAAACTGAGGAAATCTTGCTCGAAAATAAGCTATTTGTGTTTGTAAGTATTATGTATGCTTTGTTTCATCTTATAGTTTACATAAATACATCCTTGCCAAATTTATTAGTAAACTTTCCTAAATAAATTGGGTTTCTTTTTTAAAAAATATTTTACATTGAGAAAATATTTACCCCCACCCCAATTTTAGGATCAATCCATGATCCCAATATTCTTCAAAAGTATGTAAGTGACACCCTTGCCCATTTGCTCCTGACCTCCAAGGGTGACCACTGTTAGCAGATTGGAGGCAAATCCCTCATTGACTTTTCCTGTCATCTGTGTCTGTAACTCTATAGAGATACACTTGTATTC